TCACACCCCAGTGCTTACTGGGGCCTCACCCCAGTAACCCCACCCCAGCAACCCCAATTACTCATCAGGAGTTACAGCAGCACTGCGCTAACAGCCCCAAACACCCTGCAGCAGTGCTTCTCAATCCATGGCTGGAGGCTTTCCTGGCCACTGCAGCATTCCATGAGCCCAGGAGTCACCCCTGGAGGGACTGCACAGAGCAGCAGTGACTCACTGTCCCTGACAAATGCTGCCACTATTTAGAATCATGGGATTGTTAAGGCTGGAAAAGAGCTGCAAGATCACTGAGGCTAGGGAGGGGACAGCCTCGTCACAGGTCTGTATCCAAGCAAATAAGGCATCAGCTCAGCTCTGCCAGCACAGAAACTGTGGCACTCAGCTCCCTGCGTCTCCACTCTGCCCTCAAACCAGCTGTTCCATCCTTTCCCTGCAATTCCTTGCTGGGAAGTCACCTCCTCCTGACATTTAGAGGGGAAAGATGTGGCCACGTTGCATAACTTGTCTCAGAGGTACTGAAAGGCTCAGGGTGGGAAAGCTGCAGCTTCCTGCTCCCCCAGAAGGAACAGCTTTGATGAGCTAACCCTGTTCCATGAAGCAGGATTGTCCAGGAAAATTATTCATCAATTCAAAAGGTTGGACTCGACGACCTTGGAGGTCTTTTCCAACCTTAACGATTCCATGATTTCCAGCAAGACAAACAAAGGCCTTTTTGTCCCAACTCGGGAGCTCATCCCACCCCAACTACAGACCACCAGAGCTTGGCAGAACCAAAGAAAAAGGTGGAAAACTTAAAATTGGTTCTCCTCATGTGCCTCAACCGATGCTGCTGAACTCAGTGGCAGGATTTTCTGGTAGGGTTCGGAATTGGATGGTCCCTGACAGCTCCTGTGTTTGTCTCTGGGGCAGGACAAAGTGGCTGAAAATCCCCCCTGCCTGCTGCTGACATGTCGTGTTCCACCAGAGTGAGCCGGATCCGGGCCAGGAGACACTCCCTCTCCAGGTCCTCCAGCTCCAGGATCTCGATCTGGTGAGTGGCTGGAACAGATAGGTAATGGGCTCTCAGCTTTTCAGAAGTGCTCTTTAGGCACTGTGCAGGTCCTGGAATCCTGGAATGGTCTGGGTTGGACTGACATGTCGTGTTCCACCAGAGTGAGCCGGATCCGGGCCAGGAGACACTCCCTCTCCAGGTCCTCCAGCTCCAGGATCTCGATCTGGTGAGTGGCTGGAACAGATAGGTAATGGGCTCTCAGCTTTTCAGAAGTGCTCTTTAGGCACTGTGCAGGTCCTGGAATCCTGGAATGGTCTGGGTTGGAAGGACCTTAAAGCCCACCCAGTTCCATGGGCAGGGACACATTCCACTAGCCCAGGTTGCTCCTAGTCTCATCCAGCCTGGCCTGGAACACTTCTAGGGCTGGGGCAGCCACAGCTTCTCTGAGCAACCTGTGCCAGTGCCTCACTTCTCTCACAGACAAGAATTTCTTCCTAATAGCCAATCTAAATCCTCCCTCTGTCAGTTTCAAGCCATTCCCCCTTGCCCTGTCACTCCAGACTGTTGTCCAAAGCCTCATGGAGCCCCTTTAGGCACTGGAAGGGGCTCTAGGATCTCCCTGGAGCCTCCATGCCCTTTTAAAACCATGTCTACACAGTCCTCTCCCACCATAAAAGGAGCTGTACCACAAAAAGCACCAAGGGAAGGATCAGGATTTGCTGCCCCTTCCCTGCTGCCCTTACTGTGCTTCTCTCCTTGATACCTTCCTCCTGCACCACAGATGTTACCTAATATTTGGGAACAGCTGCTGCTCTGCCTGCCAGGCACATGCCACAAAAAAAAAACCTCTTCAGAAAGAGCTGTTTTAAAAATACCTGACCTTACATTTTCCTACCAGAACACTGAGGATACCTGATCCCACATCCTGGGCTGTGGCAGACACAGGCTGAGCTTCCTCCTGACAGAATTCCCAAGGGCATAAACAGTCTTGAACAACTAGAAATCGCCTCAAAAGAGGCTTTATTTTTTTAAAACGACAAGTTATTTCTACTGAAAAAAGCACTGACAAGGCATCAAACTGCAGAGAGTGTGCAGGAGCTCCCTGGGGAATAGCTGTTTCCTTGGGGAAATAGATGTATTCCTTGGGGAATAGTGGCAGCAACTTGGAGACACTGGAAGTATTAATGACCTTAAAATCCCCGAACTTATTGATCTGGCTCCGGTGAGAGCTGCCCTGAGCCATCTCCCAGCTCACATGGGAGCAGCAGAGAGGCCGTGGGAATTCCAGAGGCATGGGAAGGACCAGGACTGGGCACTTACTGGGAACAGCCATGCACTCCCCATCATGGCTCCTCTTCGGGGACGCTCCCGGGCGCTCGTACTTGCAAGGAAAAGCAGAAAGAGGGTTAGTATTCACCTGGTTTCCAAAGGATAAATCACTTGGATAGGATATACCCCAGTAGCAGCTCTCCTTTCCAAGCCTTGATTTGGATCAGAGAAGCTGTACAACCCCTTGGGAACTCAGGTTACTTTATCTCTGGCTATCAGGAACATCAGCATCAGGTGAGCAGGCTGTAGCCACCAGCCCCTGAATCCTGATTGGGATTTGGAACACAATCCCTGTTACACCAACTCTCCTTTAGTATTCCAGCTGCTCACAGTCCCCAAAAAGATTTTCTGTCGCCAACTAAAGGTGATATATTCCCATATGGATCTGCCAGCCCATTCCCAAAAGCCCCTGCTCCAAACAGGGGAATGACACAAGGGTGATGGATAGGAGTGATGAGCAGGGCAGGACAGTGGGCCACGAGCAGCAGATTAAGAAGCCAAACACCTCTGCTCCCAAGGGAAAGGATTTTGGGAGCTCCTTCCCAAACATACATGTCAGTAACTCAGGTTAGAGGCATTGCAGGAAGCTCAGCATTCCTACCACAGCTCCAGATGCTGGCTGCACTATCCAGGCATATTCCGGGCGGATCAACCTCAGGCAGTTAATAGCAGCCAGGAAACAATTCCCCTGTTTCTGGAGCCCTCGGAGTGTCCGCACCTCCCTGCCCAGCCTCATGCCGTACTCAAACATCACTGTGCCAGCTGAAAACAGGGAAATATCCATCAGCCAGGAGCCCGGAGAGGCCACACACCTGGCAGGGGTGTCCCAGGTGCCACCCTAGGCAGTACCTTTCCGGTAGTTGTGCCGGTAGACATGGAATGCATAGAGCAGCTCATAGTAGTTGTGAGTCATCAGATCCACTGCCCGAGCGTGGGATTCGATGATCCCAACGACCTGCAGCAGCACACAGAGCCTCCAGTGGGTCCATAATGCCTTAAAAGGAGCAGATGTGCCCCACCCCGCCGTGATCCCAGCGTGGGATTACCTCATTGTGCAGGTTCACATAAGGGAATTCCACCAGGTCTTGGAGCTGGGATCGCTCGCAGAGAACCACCACTAGCTGGCGTAGGCAGTCCAGCTGCCTGTGGAGGGAAGCACAACCCTTTGGAAAAGCAGGAACAAGCCCAGGATGCAGGATTCAAGCCATCAACAACCACTTTGTGACCAGCTCCCACGTTGGGATGAGCTCCGTAAGGTGTTTTCCTGGCTTAGAGCCAGGTTATCCCTTCAGATTTCTCCTGTGCTGAAACAGAGATCCTGGGCAGCAGAGATCCTCTGGAAAGGCCTCTCAGGAGAGCAGTCTGCCTTTCGCAACCAATTAAAAGGCATTCCTATTTCTCCTCTGTTATTCCAGCATTTTTTCTGGCTAGGATGAACTTTCTCTATCCCATGAAGAAATACAGGATATTCCATATCCTGTATCTTTCTCTATCCCTTTCGGTTCCTGAGCTGAAAACTCAACTCCAAATCTTTATTAAACTAACCTGCCTCAACTCCTAAAGCTTTTCACCATCCAACACTACGTATGAGCCTTCAGCCTCTTCCCTGTTTTTTTAACCCCATTTTCAGTGCCAATTCTGGCTGCCCTTAAAATGAACATCCACAAATGAACTCCTACCTTTTTAAACCCACCTTTACATAGTGATTCCTAACATAGCAGCCATATCCTACCCTGAAGTGTCACTTTCCTTTCAGTTCCTTGGAAAAGTGGGTCCATGGACCTCAGAGAAAGGCAAACCTGTCACCTACCTGCCTGGATCAGGGTTTTGTGTTAAGGCTACATATGCTTCTCTGTTGTGTCCCAAATCCAAGTGATGCTTGAAGATGCAGGTCCTCAAAGTAGCCTGAAAACACCAAACAGCACAAACCAGTTAGAAAACCAGCAAGAAATGCCTGTGGGAGAGGTTCCTGAAGTAACACCCAGCTGGAAAAGAGGGGACTGTACCTGGCTTCTCCAGTCATCCGATGATTCCATGATGGCCAGGGTGGCCAGTTGGATGACCAGCTCTGGCAAACCCACCATGTCCAACAGGCGAAGCACCTGGCGAAGAAAATACCCAAGTAAAGAGTTGGGAAAAGCCTTTCTTGCTTTTTTTTTTTTTTTTTTTTAAAATGAGCTGCCTCTGCCCTGAGAGATTTTACCAAGGTTTTAAGAGATTAGACTGAGAAAGATTTGAGTAAATCAGAGAGATCTGGATGAAATCCCAGCAGAACAGGTCCTACGGCTTCTCTGGAGGATTCACCTCTGCACATGGGGGTTTTTGAGGGATTTGAGCATTCATAGTTAGTTTTCTGGATGTTAAATCCAGGGAATCCCTCGCAAGGAGCCAGCTCCAAGCTCACAGCCTGCCTGAACCATGGCATCACACCAGAACAAAGATCCTATCTCAGTTTAAACAGATTACTTTTAATTTGCCTCAAAGCTTAATAACCTTCCTCTGAAGCAGCATTTTACATCCAGCCTGGACATGTCTGGCTTCTGCTTCCAGCAGCTGGATCCCATCCTGCCTTTTTCTGCTGGATAACAAAGTTCTCTGCTAGGAAACTAAGAGGTGGAAAGTACCTAAATTTCACATATTCACTTTGTCATCACCCCTAAAGAATTAAACAGAGTACAGAGATTTTGCCTCCCAAAAGTTAAGCTTGCTGAGGCTCAAGTCACTTTCCCCAAAGCCAAGGACCAAGCAGGAATTCTCTCTCCTGTGGGGAAGGATTTGGTGACAGTTTTCCTGCTCAGGACTGTACCTTGTTGTAGTACTGCAGGCGTGGGGTGGAGACCACCTCACCCTCCTCAGGCTGGATCAGCCTGTCCAGGAACTCCTCTCTTCCCACCTCTGAGGCAGCTTGGCAGAAGCAATCCAAAGCCTAGAAGCAGACCCGAAATCAGCTCACAGTGCCCCTCAGGGGACTGACCCACCTGCTGTACAGCTGAGGGCACAATGCTGCCTGTCCCAGCTCCAGCTGACCCCAAGCTCAAGAGAACTTCCCCAGGAGTAGATCCCACCACCCTGCTCCTATCCCATCCTTTCCCAAAGGAGGCAGAGCCTAGGAAGGATGTTTCCTCTGCACCTCCTGTTTCCCAAGGGAAAAAGGCCCAGACCCCAAAGGAAGACAGTCCAGAAGATAAGGGAGGGTCTCACCTTGTGCCCCTCACCCATGACAAGGTAGCACCTGCCCATCATGAAGCAGCAGGAGCCCATGTTCACGTGGCACCAGGGCTGCAGCAGGCGGATGTATTCCTAAGGAAGAGAAGGAATGGGAGTTTGGATTCAGGTCACTGCAGGCACCCAGTACCAGCTATTTTTTGGTGGCCCCTTTAGCTGCTGTGATCACATAAATCCTGCTTTTCCAGCCTGAGGGCTGATTTTCCAGCCCCAAAGTCCCTTGGATACACTAATCCTAGAATCCTGGAATGATTTGGGTTGGAAGGGACCTCAAAGATCATCCAGTCCCACCCCTGCCACAGGCATGAGGACACCTTCCACTAGCCCAGGTTGCTCCAAGCCCCATCCAACCTGTCCTTGAACACTTCCAGGGATGGAGCAGCCACAGCTCCTCTGCGCAACCCGTGCCAGTGCCTCACCACCCTCACAGGGAAGAATTCCTTCCCAATATCCCATCTATCCCTGCCCTCTGGCAGTGGAAAGCCATTCCCCCTTGTCCTATCCCTCCATGCCCTTCTCTAAAGTCCCTCTTCCCTTTTTAGGCACTGCAAGGGGCTCTAAGGTCCCTCTTCCCTTTTTAGGCACTGCAAGGGGCTCTAAGGTCTCCCCAGACCCTTCTCCTGCCTGAGCAATCTCAGCTCTCCCAGGCCATCTCCAGACCAGAACTGCCTCAGGCCCTGTGATGGGGAAACATCCCACATGTGCTCCTGGGAAACAACCTGCTTTGAACAGCTCCAGTGTCTGCAAGAAACATCTCAGAAACAGCACTCAACATCCCAAAAAGCAAACAGGATTCTCTCTACATCCTGCTGCAGGGAATTGCACAGGAAACACAGACAGAGCATGATGGGGAAGCTGAAGGCAGTGGGAGAACAGGCAAGGCAGGTGTTAGAAGAGGAATACCTGCACAGGAGAGCGTGAGCAGCCAAGGAAGTACATGGATTACAGGACAGGTGTGGCATGGAGCACTGATGGCACTAAGGACAAAACTAAGGCCAGATCACAGCACTGGCTGGGTGACATGACACAGCGTGGCCCTGAGCCAGCTCTGCTGGCATGATCTAAGGGCTGCCAAGTGTCATCACCCATCACTCAGCAGCCAGCAGGCACGAGGAGAACTCAAGCTGGCATCCCCCATGCCTGGAACATGCTCGTCATCCTTGGAGAAGCAGCCACGTCCTGCTAGCAGGGCTGTGGGACCCAGCAGGATTGAGAGAAGCCAAAACCCTGTGGCAAAGCCATTCTGCAGGTGCACATCCTCTACGGCCTCACCTTCCCCAGCCACGAGTCCACTCAAAGCCACGTGGCAACACATTCTGAGCCTGGATTCACTGTCCAGATTAGCAGTTACAGAGGATAAGTGCTGCTCCAGACTTGCCTAACAGCTTGTCACACACAATGAGAGGTTTGGCCTGTGTCCCAGGCCACTGCTTTGTCACCAGACCTTCCCCATGCCTGCCTGCTACTTGCAGGGCACTTCCTGCAACTCCACCTCAATTTGGGTCACTGTGCTCACAGATAAGCTGCCATTATCTCCCCGAGGTCAAGGCATTTAATCCAAGTTTCCGTGACCAACTGGGATCAGGGAGCAGAGCAGAAGGCAGCAGGGAGGAGGAAGAATTGGCTCCTGTGGAGATAAAAGCCTGGAGGAGACACCAGCGAGGCGAGAGCAATGTGAGGAGACGCAAACCGTGCGCAGATGCCAGGAGGGAAAAGGATGCTCCTCCAATCTTGGCATTTCCTGGCTCAAAAGCTCCTAAGAATTGAAATTCTTCTCAGCAGCAGCACAAAAGAAAGCAGTTTAGCCCCCAGGTGTGAGAGGCTGGGAGGATAAAAGGCTCTGCTGCAAAACAGGTCGTCACTAACAGCCTGTCTGGCCCTGGTGCCTCCAGGAGTGCCCAACCAGGGCTGAAGTGCATCACATGGCACTGCAGACAGGAATCAGAACTAGAGCACAAGCAGCTCCAGCTGCCAAAAGCACATGGAGAGAGGTGGAGAAACAGTGGTTGCAGATAGAGCAGTCTGAGACACCTGCAAATCAGGAGTTTGATGCTACTGAAATGTGAGGAACAGTGTTTCTTACACTGGTTTTTACTAGTAAGGACATTTAAGAAATAGTTGAGCCCTTTCTGGGTTGAAAACATCTTTCTGAATCCCAGTGCAGTGGGGAAAGGTGCCACAGGGAATGATTGCTTGGGATATTTAAACAGGCTCTGCAACGGTGTTTCTGGAGCACAGTGTCATGCAGAAGGACAAGCCCTGGGAGACTGAACTCCAGGAAAAGGGTACAGAATAATCCTGAATATCTGGATGTGCTGAAAATAGATGAAAGAGAAAATGCAGAAGATGATCCCACCATGGCAGGGGGGTGGAATGAGATGAGTTTAAAGGTCCCTTCCAACCCAAACCATTCCAGGATTCCATGATGTTAAATCATTCTCCATCAAACACTCTGTGGCACTGTCTGAGCTCAAAGAGCCGTGACTAGAGGTGATGGCTTAAAACTAAAAGAGG